AACTGACGGTGAAAGAGATACGTCTATGTAGGAAATGGCGATCCGGTTGAAGTAGAGGCAATTGGACATTTTAGATTATGTTTAAATAAATTATAAACGATACTGTGACATCCTACCGAGTCGAGTCTTAGAGTCGAGTCGAGTCGAGTCGAGTTGAACCAAACCCGGTTGGGGTAGAATGGGATTATAAGTGGACTTACTTGAGTGAGAGAAAATTCACTTGTATCTATGTTCAAAGTTTTGGGTACTGGTTGTTGACATGAAATTGTGATAATCTATATATGTAGACATTGATACTAGTTATCAATGGAATCCCTGCATGTTTACCTACAAGAAAGGTAACCAAAAGAAAGTTGAATAATTGATAAACTCAGCATGTAACTTTGGCATAGACGTTGGGTCATGTATCCAATCAAGAATTGACGTCTTGTTATCTGATGGTATCTTAGTACACCTTGATTACACAGGTTTTGGGACTTTTGTATTGAGTGTATTAAAGGAAAACAGACTAAACAAAAGAGACTAGGTGCCATTCGGTCATCCAATGTTTTAGAACTGATTCATACAAATATTTGTGGTCCATTCCATATTGCAGCTAGAAATGGCCAAAGATATTTTATATCATTCATTGATGACTATTCTCGTTATGGTTACTTATATCTCATTCATGAAAAATCTGAGTCTTTGGACCTGTTTAAATCTTATAAAGCCGAAGTTGAAAATCAACTAGGAAAGAAGATTAAATCTGTTCGATCTGACCGTGGTGGTGAATATTATGGTAAATATGACATCTGTTCGATCTGACCGTGGTGGTGAATATTATGGTAAATATGACGGTTCAGGCGAACAACGTCCAGGACCTTTTCGCTTTTCCTACAGGAATGTGGAATTGTCCCTCAATATACAATGCCTGGTACTCCCAGCATGAATGGTGTATCTGAGAGACGTAATAGGACTCTTATGTGGATATAGGTAAGGAGGAAATGATTAGTCATTCTACTTCTTGCTACCAGAGTCTCTTGGCGGGTGAAGCGTTAAAGACAGCAGCGTTACTACTTCTCAAATTAGGATATCATCTAAAGCCAGGTGCTAAAAACACATTATGAACTTATGGGACCGTGGACTAAGCTAGATCTAAAGCAATCTTATGGTGGGGATGTCAGGCTGAGAAGCCAAGGCGTGTACCAGAGCGGGCCGAATCGAAACGAAAACTGGAACTCCAAAGCCTATCGAGCAGCGTGACGCTGGGTTGTTGGAGTATGGCTGAGGCAGGGTCTAAGGGTTACAAGGGTGTTGGTAATAGATCCTACTTCTAGAAACTTTTTTGGGATCGAAACGAGAATTGCAAATTTTTTCCGGAGTTTGTTTGATCTTTGTGATGGGAGTAAATAATAGAAAGATAAACATTGTCCTCTTTTGAAAGAAGGAACCACAGTAAAGATTGATTACGGTTCTCATTCCTTTTGTTGTTTCTTGATAGCGTATAACAGACTCCAGTTGCTCTGTAATATTCAAGATCCAATCAAGACATTTTATTTTTTGGCTATTCTCCTGAAGAAAACAATTCAACCCAACGCTCAGAATTAGAGCCTGTTCAAAAGTGCCGTTTGAGGAGTCTACTAGGGAGAGGAAGAAGTGCCGATATTCCGATGATTATATAGTGTTTTCTTCAGGAACATGAGGCTACTGTAGACGATGATAGATGATGAATCCATTGATTAAAGTTTCATATCATTGCCCATGACAGAGTTCTGACCTCTTCATAAGTTGGATTTTGAAGGACAAACTATGAACGAAGGAGTATAAGTCCGCTATGGAAGACCAATCAAGTTGGATCTTGTGTGTCGAATTAGCTGGGGCTGAAGGAAAGCATAATCCATGTGGTTTGGCCAAATGGATATTTAAAAAATTCCAAGAGGGGATCTCAAGGGGTAGATGTGGGAGGGGAGAAGAAGCATATATGTTTTAACGGCACGGTCGTGGGAGCAAGAAAGGGCTGTTGATACTAAAAAGGGCATAGGGTATTTGACTATTTAAACTGAAAAGCCTTGCCTCCAGTTTTCTTATTCGAAGGGATCGTTGTTTAGAGACATTCATATACATTGGCCTTGTAGATTGCAAAATTATGAGTGCGAGCTCTATCCAAATGGAATATATGTTAAGACTGCGTGCTCTTTCGTCTCCCGAGCGATAAATAGAAGCGAACAATTAACCATTGTAAATCAGTGACTTATGTATTGGCTATGCACCAAGAAATTTTTGTTATTATTTGGATGAGATGAATCAAAATCATTCTTTGGGCGTAACTAAATGGACCAAATAATTAAGAGGGTAAATTTATTTATGGAATCTCATAACCAAAATCTTCTTCTTCCAATATTAGTTGGGGGTGTGTATTGTGAGAAGTTCCAAACAGTAGGAAAAGTAAATCTGTACCGTGGGTCCTTTGGAGGCAAAAAAAAAAAATATGATCTGTAAATAGAATATTGTAATGTTTTAAAAATTTTAGTGGCATGCTTTAAGAGGATTTAGCTTGATAATTAAATAATCATCCCAAAAAATTAAGTGAGAAGAAAAATGGTTAAGAAAAATTAATTATTTTTGGATTACAAATTATCGCGCTTACCTAAATTAAATAAATAAAATATACGGTCAAGCCACAGAGAAACAAATAAATAAATTGCTAACTAACTCTATTAATTAATGTTTATTTTGTACTGCCATGAAAAATATCCGCAATACTGAGTCTTTTCTTACATAATTCAAAAAGGCCAATTTTAGAAAATGAAAAAAAAAGATTGGTGTAGACTCCCACTTAAGAAGTGGGGAGGGTTGAAGGCTTCCTCTTTGCTTTCTCAGGCCCCGCGCAGCGCCCATTCCCAAGCCCTACAATCTGTAGATACTGTTCTCTGAATAAACAACAAAACAAAAACGAGATTTAAGGGGGACCAGTATTATATTCTTGGAATTTCAACAAAAGAGCAATATAATTGAATAAAAAAAAAGTTGCTCAAGAAAGATTAAGTTAAAATGACAAGAAATCATTAATATAAGACACATATCGAAGATAAACCCCTTAATTTGGCAAAAAAGATGTTAGTGAATAAATTTAAAGTATCCAAACCAAATAGAATTCCAAAAAACAGTAATGTGAATTGAAAATTCAATTGTGAAATGACCAAAAGGGGATCACCTATTGCATCTAACTATAAATGAGGAAAAAGTCTACATATGTATGTTTCCAAGGTTTGTAACTCGTCAGACAATTCTTTTATATTATAGTTGGCATGTTAACAATGTAAGTAAGAAACATATATCCTCAAAAGTGGAAAGAATCCAAAGGAATGAACCATCATTGTGGAAAGGGAATAGCACCAAAAAGAGTCATGAGATATCTTCAGAGGTAGGAACATCACCTAAAATACCCTAATGAAAAATAGAAGATACGTACTACAGTATAGGGGGAAGATGCAAGATCAGACTGAGATCATTGCTGGTGAATAATGAAATTCTGGACTTGTGCGCTGGGGGAGATGCTTATAATTCTTTATATAGTTTAGACAAATATCATCTGACTACGGATTTTTCCTATCAGGCTGTTGCGGTCTGTTGCTATTTCTTGGAAGAGTAAAAAATATATATGTTGAAACAAACGGGGTCTAAAAAAAGAGAGAAAACATACCCACCCAATGGAGCTGAAATTTGTAATTAGAATTAGCCGCATTACCCTATATGAAAGGCATCCAAATCAAAGACCTATTTTGGCTGAGAATTAACTCTGTGGTCCACAACTGGGCTATGCGCTAAAAATTAATGTAGTAGTAGGGAATAGAACAAGACCACTGAATTAGTTTGTGACGCAGCAAGTCACAGCCAAGAGTATTTATTCTCACAACGAAGCGACAGGAGGAGTACAACTTCTCGATTCAAAACACATTGAGAATTTAGTTCTTGGCCGTGAAAGACGAGAGGTACAGAGAGGCACCCCAGAGGGTGTTGGACAGATTATCCTGTTAGGCCATATTGGAACACAAACATCTATGATTGCGGGATCCGACTGACAAAGGACAAAAAAAGGGCTAAATGTGTGGGATACCGAAAGTTTTCTAAAAATGAGCACCAACCGCTCATAATCGCCGTGTATGTTCGTTTGTTTTGAGACTTGTCTAGTTTTCAGTCGGGCGACGTTTGTCTTTATCCGCACTCCTACATTTGCTTTTTCGATTTTTATCATTTACTGATGGTGGTATGTGGTTGGATATGTTTTATTATGAAATTTTAAGTTGAAGTATCATTTGGTTGATATAGGTTAACTTCTTATAATTATTATTGTTTGCTTGATCTTCACTTTCTGTATGGTGACACAGTTGGGAAACAGAACATTGATGATCACATTACATGAGTTTCACTGCTACACTTCTATATGCATCTATGTCATTTAGTGGTATTTGTAATGTAGTTGATGATGAAACTTAGTCGATTGTCATGAGATCTATGGCGAATGTTTCTTCAGTTCTTTATCAATATAATTAATGGACGAGATTGTTTTTGGATACCTTGTATGACTGCGTTTGTTGAGCTCATTTTGGTGTATGTATTTTATTTAACATAATGTCGCCCAAGTGGGAGATTGTTGGATTTAATTTTCTATTGTGGGCTTAATATGTAAAATTAAATATGTACAGCAGTCTAATTATAAAGTCAATTTTAAATGCGGTCTTGATTGTGAATAATTGACTATTGAGGTATCAACTAATTATAGATATTAAGTGTAGAGACCATTATATAATTCCTATTTCTTTAAAGGACCGAAATAGGAATTGTACTAACGTACTCAACCCTACAGGTATTATAAAGGTCGTGGTCCCCAGAGGTGGTCCCCAGAGAAGTTGAATACGATTCAGTTTTACGTTCCTTTCGTACTGCTTCCGCAAAATCGATTCTTCAATTCTCTGGAAGGCTACAAACCTAATTCTACGCATGAAGATCGACGAACAACGATGTCAGGTACGCAGCCTTTTCTTATTCAATCTATTTTGTTGAATCTAATAGTTTGCACGATCTAGGTTATTATTGAATTATTTGAGATTAATTTATAACACTTTATAGTCTTTTGTTTTGGGAGTTTCACAACCTTTGCCCCACCGTGCTTTGTATTGGATTGGAACGTCTACACTATTAGAAATAGTGTCGTGGTTGCCATTTGCCTCATCCCTGCATTCCACAAAAAAACCTTATGTAAATCAACATCCGCTATCCTGCCATGTTGGTAGCTATACAAACCTAAACAATTATAATAATCTTTAATTCATACTTATCTGATGTCAATTAATTTTTTTCACTCATTACCTACCTAAACACTATTTTGCATTGCATTCTTCCATATAATTTTTACACCCATAACAAACCATTTCATATTTTTCATATCTCAAAGAAAGCCTAAGTTGAGGACTATGAGAATTATAAACCCTAGGGTACAGTAACACATACTAGGATTGTAATCAATTTCATTGAGCACGAACATAAAATTAGAGATTGTTTACATATTGTTAAAAGATTGCTGCTTATTTATAACTCTCTGTTTCCCAAAACTTTCTCTCTTCTTTCCTTCACCGACTACTCTCTATGGCTGCTCGCAATTTTCTTCCTCTCTTCCAGAATTTATCAATGAAGTTGCAACAATTGGAAGAATTTACCATGTTAATGTGGTCAGACTTATTGGGTTTTGTGCAGAAGGATCTAAGCGAGCTCTTATTTATGAATTCATGCCTAATGGATCTCTTGAAAAGTACATATTTTCTCATGAAGCTAACACCACAATAAGCATTGAGAAAATGTATGAGATTTCTCTTGGAATAGCTCGTGGAATTGAATATTTACATCGAGGTTGTAACATGCAAATTTTGCATTTTGATATAAAACCTCACAACATTCTTCTCGATGAAAATTTCATTCCAAAAGTTTCAGATTTCGGACTTGCAAAGCTATATCCGACCGACAATAGTATTGTGTCTCTCACTGCAGCAAGAGGAACATTAGGTTACATGGCTCCAGAGTTAGTATTCAAAAGTATCGGAAATGTCTCGTACAAAGCTGATGTTTATAGTTTTGGAAAATTGTTGATGGAAATGGCTGTAAGAAGAAAGAATACAAATGTATCTGAAGAGCATATGAGCCGAATATACTATCCTTCATGGGTTTATGAGCAAATTAATGAAGGAAGAGATATTGAATTAGGAGATGTAACAGAGGAAGAAAGGAAAATAACAAAAAAGATGATATTTGTAGCACTATGGTGTGTACAATTGAAGCCTAATGATCGTCCTTCAATGCATAAAGTGGTAGAAATGCTTGAAAGTGAAATTGAAAGCATAGAAATGCCTCCAAAGCCTTCTTTCTCACCACATGAGATGCCAAAAGAAGATTTTGAGATCAAGGCAAGTGGTGGATTAACAAATATACCAAAGAGTTATTTAGATTCAATCTCTTGGATGGTAAATGGACGCTAAACTACATAATATGTATTATCTAAAAATGTTAGCAACACTACAAAACGATTATATATATATATTTGAGGTAAGAATGCCAATATAATTCCTTTTGTATTTTTTTTCCTTTTTCCTTCAATGGTTGTTTTTGTTTTTTTTCTTTTTTTTGAAAGGGATTCAATGGTTGTTAAAGTGGCTAAAGGCTAAAATTTATACAACTTTGAAAATTCATTTGCTGAATTGTTACAAATAATAGATGAGGCGAAAATTCAAAAAAAAAAAAAAAAAATTACAAATAATAGATAGGCGAAAAAAAAAAAAAAAAAATACTGAACTTCATGATTTAGTTTTTCATAACTAAGATTCTAAAGCTATTTTGGTGTAAAAATTTCAGCATTTGTATTACTTGTCACTACAAATCAAGGTCATATCCAGCTTTCAAACAATAGCCATGTACAATTACAGAAATAATTACACGAAACTAAAAGATACCCACATTAAGATTCAACAAATACTCAATAGAAGCAAAAATCAGTAAACTAATAAGGAAATTATAAACTCTATCAACAGTGTCCAATATATGTAACCAACGAATACGTATATTACCTGAATGGAATGGTGGAAGTGCAGGAAGGGTTTCCAAGACTCGATCTTGAAGAGAGAAGACGACGTCGAGATCCTCTTGATAGCTTGGCTTTGTAGATTTGTGCTTGTGTTACATGGAGTTAGAAAAATGAATTTTTACAGAACCAGAAAAATGTTTGTGATTTTGTGGATGGAATGTTGAATCTTTTGGAGGGAAATGAAAATGGAAATTACAACAGATCAGAGCATCGTTTTTGAAACGTTTCATTCTTCAATGATATTGGGTTACACACAAGACAAAGTTTCAGTACACATGAAATGGGTTTGAGCTAGTTTTTCAGTGTTTTGACCTGTCTTCATCAATTATATACGTAATAACTTTAGCATTCAAACATTTAATATTTTACAGAGATTAATTAAAATTTTTTTTTTTGATAATTAAGCCCGTTATTTTTTCTCCGAATTCAGCCAATTAAAAATTTAATACCTTTTTATCATCGTTCTAGGTTAAACTACTAATTAAACTGTTGTTTTGATCGAACACTTTTAATTTAAATAGCTAGCAATTTATACAATATTTATTAAAATAATTACCGAAAATTTTAATACACGCGGAAGTTGTGTAAATACTACCCGAATAGCTTCGTCTAGAATACTAGAAATAGAAAGCTTTGCTAATTCATGAGCAACCCCAATAAGATCTCGTCGGATATCATAGCACTGGAAGGATGGAACGCTGTTGGCCATAGCTAGGATGTCCAACACTCGAGTGACATACTCTGTTTCAGGGATGATTTGAGTCGAGACATGCTGGGCAAGAGTTATTGAGTCTGTTTCAAGGATGATAGATTGCAATTGTTGTGGGGTCACTCCGACGTGTGGGACCCACACACATTTGAAAAGAAAAAAATATAAAACACGTTTTTGTTTTGATGGCAGTCAAAGAGAGACTGCTGAACAAAGAAGAAAAAAAAAAGCACGTCATTTTGTTATTCAAAGGACGATGCCAAAGAAAGAAAGAAAAAAAAAAAAGGAAAAGTGGACACGTGATTAACGCGTCCACTGCGTCCCCTTGGAATGCCAAAAAGGAAGAAAGAAAAAAAAAAGAAAAGTGGAACGTGATAACGTGTCCACTGCGTCCCTTTTGCCTATAAAAAAGGGGCAGGTCTTTTTTGTCACTCATTAATGTAGTAACAAAAACAAAACTTAGATACTGATAGGTAATACACGTATTGAGTGTGTAAATTTTAGAAAGTGTTCCTAAATTGAAGGAAAGAGAGAAATAGCGAGGAATTTGACAGTATTTGGGGTGATATGTTAAGCACTATAGAGTACATATTTTTTGTAATCTCTTTTGTACCTACTATTTTTTAGTAAGAGAGAAATATTCGGAGTTCTTGTACGTGGACGTAGCCATAACAGTTGAAGGGTGAACGCCGAAAATCTCCGTCTGTTCTTATTTTTTTATTGGAGCATTTACGGTAATTAATCTTTAATTTTTACCGTGATTATTAATTTCCTGGTGGATTCGATATTCCGTATAATATTTTAATATTTTGAGTATCTATGTGGTAATATGTAATCTTTTATTTTACATTTTACCATCGGGTATTTTTCCGTGGGCCCCACTCAGCGATCAGTTATAATCCTACAACTGGTATTGAGTCTTGGTTGGTAAATCTGTCCAAAGTTACTATTCCGTGATAGTGACTCGATGAAATAGTGGAAATTTGTTCAGATTCAGAATTCATAACGACGGGGCAATGATCAAATTGACGGATTCGAATTATTCAATGTGGAAATCCAGAATGGAAGACTACCTCAATTGCAAAGATCTGTACGATCCATTGAAGGTGACAGTACAAAGCCAGAAGAAATGAAACAAAGGCAGTGGGAGAAATTAAAAAAGCAGACATTGGGTACAATACGTCAATGGATAGATGTTAGCATGTACAATCACGTGAGAAAAAAAAAATATCCCCAAGTTCTCTGGAAGAAATTAGAGAATATGTACGAGGCTACGAATGCTCAAGGAAAAGTCTTCATGATGCGTAAAGTCATGAACTTGAAGACTTGAAGCTGTCAGAGGCATCATACACATACTTTAGAACGATTTGAACGGATCTCGTAACGAGTTAGCAGTTAGCGTATGGTCCTTAGAAGACCGAATATGCAAGCATGCCTACTGTTGGGTATCTCTACCGGATAGCTGGATACTCTATGGTATCATTGAGGTTATATCTCAGCTCAAATGGTGTGGTAACGTGCATTCTATGGTAATATTGATAATCAGACTACTTAAGTAAACTCAAAGAAGATATGTTCCATGTATCAGTTCTACTAAGCCTTTCGCAGAGGATATGTGCGTGAGATAATGAGTAGAGTTCCAAAGACATGTAAGCATTACAGTGATGGTCAGATCCTATGTCTTAGTGAGAGATTGAGAAAATATGACCGGATATGCGTAAAGAGGTAGAGTCATCATCAAGGAATTGCACTATAGACATATACTTCTTAACACGACGTATAAATCTCGCCAGACACTGCAGAAAGCAATAGATATAGGTAACAAAGAAATAAGAGGGCTGTGGTGAGAGCCTCGTTACTGAGTGAATGAAGGATTATGTTGAGGTGCACTTTATAGCTATCTCATCGCATGCGGGATTGCTGTTATTGCTTGACATCTGCGAAGATATTACTGAGTCGTGATAGAGTAAGACTCTCGTGTTGCTTCTATATTCCACATGTCTTTGCCAAAACGGAACACTTTGCATCTATCGTACAATTCATACAAAGGCCAGGAGACTTTATAAGGAACTATCTTAAAATGAATTTATATGATAAGATAGTCTCAGTAATTAGAGGGAATACTGGCTGCTATCTATACTGTAATAAATTAAGAACATGAGCTTATTGGGTTTGCGCGATTTTAGACCTATAAAATGGTGAAGATCACACATATCCGATCTCGGGTGAAAAAACTAACTGTTAATCTTGAGCGTATCTGAGCGACAAGGAGCAGCATCAACATCATACAGAGGGATGGCGGTAGAGTTGGATAACCACCAAAAGGGTCTTTGGGTGATGGCGAGAGGAATTATGTTATGCTCGCTATATAAAGACGCATGCAATAATATGTGCGAGAACAACTAATAACAGTTTCAGATGAATGCTTCACCAAAAATTTGTGCATAAGCGGCTGCGGCACGTAGTGAGAATACAGTTGCAGATGATGCTTCACCAAATTTGTGGCATAGGCGGCTGGCGCACGTTAGTGAGAAAGGGTTGAATATGTTGGCTAAGAAGTCCTTCATACCATTAGCCAAAGGTAAAATAAACCCTTGTGATTATTGTTTATTTGGGAAGTAACATCGGGTCTCATTTTTGAAAAGCTCTAAAAGGAGAGACAACAAATTGGAGTTGGTACACTCTGACTTATGTGGTCCCATGGAGGTAGAATCACTTGGAGGAAGTAGGTATTTTCTTACAATAATTGATGATTTCTCACGGATAACATGGATATATTTGTTGCGCACAAAAGACCAAGTATTCAAGCACTTTCAACAATTCCATGCTATGGTGGAAAGGGAGACTAGAGTGGTCTTGAAGTGTTTACGCACGGATAATGGTGGTGAGTATATCTCTAAGGAGTTTAATTGTAGTCAGCACGGTATCAGGCATGAAAAGACAGTTCCTGGTATGCCTCAACACAACGGCGTTGTTGAACGGATGAATCGCACCATTATTGAAAGAGTCAGATCCATGCTCAAAATGGCCAACTTACTTAAGTTATTTTAGGGAGAAGCTTTTAGTATTGCTGTCTACCTAATCAATCGACTACCTTCAGCACCTTTGGATTTTGATATCCCGGAGAAGGTCTGGACAGGTAGAAATATTTCATACTCTCACCTGAGGGTATTTGGCTGCAAGGCCGAAGAAGAAGAGATCAAAGCTTGATGACAAGTCAGTTCCTTGCATTTTTGTTGGTTATGGAGACAAAAAGTTTGGCTACAGGTTATGGGACCCAGTGAAAAAGAAAGTTGTCCGGAGCCGAGACGTAATATTCCACGAGAATGAGATCGTGGTAGATACAACTTGTGAAGACTCCACAAGTAATGGTGTTGTTGATATTATACCAAGAAACATTCCTACAGATGATGCCACGGGAGGAGGAATGCCAGAATCAGAACAAGAAGAAGAAGAAGAGCCAGTCATAAGGGATTAAGAGACAATTGTAGATGATAACAGTGATGTAGAGGGTGTTGAGCAGGGGGAGCCAGAGAACCCCATTCCACCAGAAGGAGTTGAACCTCTTACACCAGAAGGAGTTTGAACTTCAGTTGAGAAGGTTAACAGAGAGCGCCAACATCTACAAGGTTAACCCATAGTTTCTGATTACATATCTTCTTGATTACTGAGACGAGGGGGAGCCAGAGAGCTTCCAAGATGTGCAATCGTGACAAAGATGAGAAGAATTATTGTAACAAAAGGCCATGCAAGAAGAAGATGAAATTGACTTTGAGAAAGAATGAACAACGATA